AAATGTCAAACTTGCTAACTGGTTGTAGTTATACACGTGCCACGTTCAACGAATCAGCAGGTCGGACATTTCAGAGTTTCCTAGTTCCGACTAGCATGTGAACATGGCATTAGTCCATGAGCCAGCAGGGGGGTCGGCGATGATGTCTCAAAGTGATTTTTTAAAAAGTATACTCTACCGGTCAAAAGTTTTAGAACACCTACTCATCCAAGGGTTTTTCTTTATTTTTTACTATTTTCTACATTGTAGAATAATAGTGAAGACATCAAAACTATGAAATAACACATATGGAATCATGTAGTAACCAAAACAGTGTTAAACAAATCTACCTTGATGACAGCTTTGCACACTCTTGGCATTCTCTCAACCAGCTTCACCTGGAATGCTTTTCCAACAGTCTTGAAGGAGTTCCCACATATGCTTAGCACTTGTTGGCTGCTTTTCCTTCACTCTGCCGTCCGACTCATCCCAAACCATTTCAATTGGGTTGAGGTTGGGGGATTGTGGAAGCCAGGTCATCTGATGCAGCACTCCATCACTCTCCTTCTTGGTAAAATAGCCCTTACACAGCCTGGAGGTGTGTTGGATCATTGTCCTGTTGAAAAACAAATGATAGTCCCACTAAGCCCAAACCAGATGGGATGGAGTATCGCTGCAGAATGCTGTGGCAGCCATGCTAGTTAAGTGTGCCTTGAATTCTAAATAAATCACAGACAGTGTCACCAGCAAAGCACCCCCACACCATAACACCTCCTCCTCCATGCTTTACGGTGGGAACTACACATGCGGAGAGCATCTGTTCACCCACACCGCGTCTCACAAAGACACGGCGGTTGGAACCAAAAATCTCAAATTTAGACTCCAGACCAAAGGACACATTTCCACCTGTCTAATGTCCATTGCTCGTGTTTCTTGGCCCAAGCAGGTCTCTTCTTCTTATTGGTGTCCTTTAGTAGTGGTTTCTTTGCAGCAATTCGACCATGAAGGCCTGATTCACACAGTCCCCTCTGAACAGTTGATGTTGAGATGTGTCTGTGACTTGAGGTAACTCTGGGTCTTCCATTCCTGTGGTGGTCCTCATGAGAGCAAGTTTCATCATAGCGCTTGATGGTTTTGGCGACTGCACTTGAAGAAACTTGAAATGTTCCTTATTGACTGACCTTCATGTCTTAGAGCAATGATGGACTGTCGTTTCTCTTTGCTTATTTGAGCTGTTCTTGCCATAATATGGACTTGATCTTTTACCAAATAGGGCTATCTTCTGTATACCCCCCACCCCCCACCCCTACCTTGTCACAACACAACTCATTGGCTCAAACACATTGAGAAGGAAAGGAATTCCACAAATTAACCTGTTAATTGAAATGCATTCCAGGTGACTATCTTATGAAGCACCATAGTCCCCCGTGGCCAAGGACACTAAGATAACCTGCCTAAATGACTACCGACCCGTAGCACTGACGTCTGTAGCCATGAAGTGCTTTGAAAGGCTGGTCATGGCTCATATCAACACCATTATCCCAGAAACCCTAGATCCACTCCAATTTGAATACCGCCCCAACAGATCCACAGATGATGCAATCTCTATTGCACTCCACACTGCCCTTTCCCACCTGGACAAGAGGAACACCTAAGTGAGAATGCTATTCATTGACTACAGTTCAGCATTCAACACCATAGTGCCCTCAAAGCTCATCACTAAGCTAAGGATCCTGGGACTAAACACCTCCCTCTGCAACTGGATCCTGGACTTCCTGGCGGGCCGCCCCCAGGTGGTAAGGGTAGGTAACAACACATCTGCCACACTGATCCTCAACATGGGGGCCCCTCAGGGGTGCGTGCTCAGTCCCCTTCTGTACTCCCTGTTCACCCATGACTGCATGGCCAGGCACGAATCCAACACCATCATTAAGTTTGCCGACAACACAACAATGGTAGGCCTGATCACCGACAACGATGAGACAGCCTATAGGGAGGAGGTCAGAGACCTGGCCGTGTGGTGCCAGGACAACAACCTCTCCCTCAACGTGATCAAGACAAAGGAGATGATTGTGGACTACAGGGAAAAAAAGAGGACTGAGCACGCCCCCATTCTCATCGACGGGGTTGTAGTGGAACAGGTTGAGAGCTTCAAGTTCCTTGGTGTCCACATCACCAACGAACTATCATGGTCCAAACACACCAAGACAATCATGAAGAGGGCACGACAAAGCCTATTCCCCCTCAGGAGACTGAAAAGATTTGGCATGGGTCTTCAGATCCTCAAAAAATTATACAGCTGCACCATCGAGAGCATCCTGACTGGTTGCATCACCGCTTGGTATTGAAAAATCTCAAATCTCAAATATATTTTGATTTGTTGAACACTTTTTTGGTTACTACATGATTCCATATTTGTTATTTCATAGTTTTGATGTCTTCACTATTATTCTACAATATAAAAAATAGTAAAAAGAAAGAAAAACCCTTGAATGAGTAGGTGTGTCCAAACGTTTGACTGGTAGTGTATATAGAGTTGGAAAATGTGTGATAGCATTGCAACAATGGTAGCTTTGTTATCACTCTTTCTTTCATCCCTCCATCCCATTTCATCCCTCCATCACAAATGTGTGGGTCTGGCTCATGAACTAGGCCTATATAGGCCACACACAGATCATCAGTCAGCTAAATGAAGTTCAAAAGGCACTTGCTCAACTATGTGCTGAGGGGCCCTGACACTTATAGCTGCACAACCGGTATAGGCCTAAAACAATCCTGCATTTTATTTTATTAAGTGTAGGCCTATAGACTAGTCCTATAGGCTTACATTTGAATTTAACTTATTTTGATTTGATCTAAACAATAGAAAATAAATACATTAAAAATAAATAAATAAACTAAAATAGCCTGTAATCATCATAACCAAAGCCTATTAAACAATTCGAGGACTATGATGGCCTATACGAAGAAATTATTCAACTAACGTAAAAAAATTAATCTGCATATATAGGCCTAAATTAAGTAAGATATGTCTACCTAAATAAATCCGAAACTATGTTTGATATTTTTTATGATTGATCAGTGAATCCGCTTAAAAACTTAATCCAAAAACATCCCACGAATGAACCTTCCCAAATCACTTTCCCCTAATCCTAATTTGCATATAAGAAAATGCCCGGACGTCAAAGGAGCAGGGATCTGTATGGTTTTAAAGGGTCAGACGAGGGGTTAGTTGGGGACAATAACCCCGCATGAGTCGTTAGATAGCGGCCGTCTGGATTAGTGATGCAAATGCCAATTTTACCAATGACTAGAGTCCTTAATCTTTGGATCCTCTCACCTTTTTTATTTTCTGGTATCTCAAAATGTCATCGCATTCAATGGAAATGCCTTGGTTTTGTTAGGTAAAACGTGTATCCGATTCTCACAGGCTAGAGCAGCACTTCCGTGAAATGTTAATTTGAAATTGGCATGAAGTTGTCACGTCATGTTAGCCCTATATTACGACAGTAGGCGATTCAATGGCATTTTCAAAGGCCTGAATTAAGTGATCGATTAATTAGCTGACTTCAGTAGGCTACAACGCAACTGTTGGCATTCTTATGTAGGGCTAATGTCATCATTTTGAGGAAGGACGTTGCCAATAATGCGAACGGCTTTAATTTGCAACTTCAGTCTGCAAATTATAACGTTTAGGCTACTCGATTTTGCTCTAAGCCTATTCTCATATTTTGATCAATGCATCAAACATAAAAAAAAAATCGAAATGTATTAACATTTCTTTACACTGTCTTAACATTTCTTGAAATCCTATAAATGTTCACTGGGCTTTAAAAAAAAATCATAAATGAACAATTGCCTTTTAGGTAGGCTATAGTAATTCATGCACATACATTCACACTTTTTCCTCGATTTGAATTAGGCAAATTAATGTTTTTTTTTATCAACTCATTTTCGAATAATATGTCTTAATTGTTAAAGGGATATTTTTAATAGGCCTAATCACTCCCAAAACAATCAACATTAATACTTTCGATCCCTAATTTAATATGGATCTTATAGAAATGGAAATGTTAGTGCACGATTTATTAGTTTAGCCTATTCATATATTGAGCAGTGTTTAGCCTATCTGATGTTGTTTTAAAAATATTTTCCTCACTTCTAGGCCTATTTATAATATTGTTCTCTCTTGTAAATTTAGTTTAGGTTAAACCATTTAAAATTCGTTTTAATAGGTTTATATTTTCTTTTAAATCAGAAGTTGGAAATTAATTTTGGGGAAACTGAGCATTCTGGAAAATGTCAAATGATTTCCATACTTCACCATTGAATTTCAAACATTGGGATGTTAATTAGGCATAGCCTATATGTGTTTTTAGAGGGACGAATATTGATTAAATCGGACGTGGTATTTGTACAACCAGGCTAACTTTCTAAAAAACACACCTCTCAAGAAATCCCACAGTATCCAAATAACATCTCGTGTTTGTTCCAAGATAATACCAGTAATCCGTGACGGTTAGCCTATCAGTTACAGGCCGCTGTATCAAACTCTTTCAAGATGGTGAGTAAATGAACTTTTCAGGGTGCAAACTCCACCAGATCAGTCGATTTCAGCCGGTTTCATATTAATTCACTTTATCCTGAATCCTTCAGAAGGCCGCGGGCATGGAGAGAGAGTTCGGGCCGACTCTTCTCTGGTTGCTATTTGTCCGCGCGAGGCCCAGGGTGCCCTTTTGATCATTTCAATCTCTCCTCGGTGAGCTCCTTCTGATTGGTCGAGGGAGTAAGAAGGGGAAAATCTTTAATTAAGTAGATAATCTCTTGTTGGGATGAGAGTGGGTCCATTTCAGAGCCCCCCTCTAGTGAGTCCCACATGAGTATCTTAGCATATACAGCCAGTGTGGAGTGGAGTTGTGTATGTATTTAGGGTAGTAGCTCTCACTATATAATCTATCCTCATTTAGAGAGCTGCTGAATGTGCATACCATCCCTCTATCCTCTCCCATCTCTTCTGTCAGGATGTTCATGCATTTGGAGGTCTGTTACTATATCTTCATTTTGATGACTCACATGACAAGGTCCTGCTTCAGCTGGTGAGTTTCAACTATTTTGGAATGTTTGTGATTGCCTCATCCATTCAATGCAGTGGATGTGATAGGAAGGTTGTTCATGAAATATTGGTACATAGACCTATTGGAATAGGGAAATCATTCAATGATTTTGATGGTGAAATGTTTTTCTATTTACTCATCAAATTAAAACGTTATTTTTTTACGTTCGAAAATGGTTTACCAAACGCCACTGTTTGGTGCAGGAATGGGAAACAATTAGGCTTCTTGATTTTCCTTTATGAGAATGTAGGGATGGAAAAGTATTGAATGATGACAATTCAATATTTTCCTGTAATTCTTGTAATGTTTATTACTCATTAATCTACTTTAATCTCACTCTATTTTATTGAGGATTTTTTGTATTAGAGTATGGATGAATAACAATGCATTTTGGCAGTATTCAATCATACTTTTAACATAATTACCGTAGGTCTTTATTTTAGGTATTTTGGGTATAACCTACCCAAGAAATTCACATTAACACCATGGTTATTTACCAGCAGGCCAGGGTTTTATTCATTTGGGAGACAAGGATTTAGATGAATTATATGGTTTAGCACCATGTTATTATATGTTTTAGTACTGCGTTATTTAAGATAGATAATGACGCTTTAGTACCATATTATTAAATGCTATTAAAGATAACCTAATGAGAGATGTTAAGTGAGGGAGCTGTGGAATTCCTGCCCTTGCTGAAGGACACTTAATTCCCAGAGTTAATAAGCTGTCTCCTCTTCCAGGTCAGTGAATAATTTCCTGATGACTGGACCTAAGGTAAGCCAACATTCTTTTGATCTTCTGGCCAGATCCCTTTTTCCCTATCCTCCTTCCCTCCCAAAAAAGAGAGCAAAAACCACCCCTGTGAGGATCTCTTACAAAACCTCAGTCTGAAGACATTATTGAAGTATGTTACTCTCTTTCTCCCTCTATTTTTCTATCTATAGATAGCATCTCCTCTTCTCCACAATGAGAGTTTATGGTTCCATATACATATACATTTTCATCATTTATTTGTTGTAACAACAGCAAGAGTATAACTAAGCAGTGTTATGCTGGCCTTTTGGGTTCACTCCATATACGTATCTAAATGCACTTGACCCTATTGAGGCTAAGAAGCTTTGAATGTCCATGGGTTGAGATAGTATAGGCGGAGAGTTATTGGGTTCAGTGTGTATAGAGGCAGTGGCAGGAGAGGACCTGGACAGGGTTGGGGTCAATTTCATTTCTTTTTCAGTCAATTCAGGAAGTTAACTGAAATTCCAATTCCAATTTTACCCATGAGAGGCAATGGAGGCAGTAGAGGCACAAGAGGTTCCAGGATTGAGTGTGTATCGCACAGGAGGCTGCTGGTGAAGGGATGAGAGCTCATAATAATGGCTGGAATGGCGTGACTGGAATGGTATACCGTTCCATTCATTTTGTTCCAGCCATTACTATGAGCCCTCCTCCCCAATTAAGGTGCCACCAGCCACCTGTGGTATAGAGACAATGGAGGTAGTAGAGGTCCCTCGGTTGATAGAGCTAGACTAGAGGCAGGAAAGGCAGTAAAGATCACGCTGTGTTGAGTGGGAATAAACTAGAGGCAGTAGAGGCAGGAAAGGCAGTGCTGGCATGTGCTGTGCTGTGGTGGGTGGTCATCATTAGCCCACCAGACCCCAGTTAGAAGCAGAGAGGTGGTGGCTCAGTCTCTCAACAGGCCACTTGAGACATATCATTCACACAGTCTCAACAAGGACTAGAGAGCCGGGCGAACAAGCCAAGTGGACATGGTGAACTTGTAAAGAATAGGGCTTGGGATTCTAAACTCACTCAGGGGTTGTGAATCATGTTCAAAAAGTTGAATTAATATTGTATTAAGACTTTTTCCCTGGTCCATTTCTGTTGCTAACCGAAGCTAATGTCTATTAGTATTGTTGCAACAAAAAATCCATTAATACACTAGGAATTTTGGGGTTATGGAACTAAATGTCCCTAGAATTTGTTGCTTTTCATGATTGATCCCATTCAGTTTTTAGTGTATTGTACCATTACATATGACATGATGATATACTCCTCTGTGTTCCTCCAGGCTTACCTGATTTACTCCAGCAGCGTAGCGGCCGGGGCGCAGAGCGGCATCGAGGAGTGCAAGTACCAGTTTGCCTGGGATCGATGGAATTGCCCTGAGAGAGCCCTGCAACTGTCTACACACAGAAGCCTCCGCAGCGGTAAGAGCCAATGATCCAGGCTCCATTGGAATTCTGAATTCCATTTTGGAATTCCAATTAGAAAATTTAGAAAATTTGGAGAATTTGGGAATTCTAATTCAGAATTTGGGAATTTCTGTTGTGCTGCCCAAATGACACCCTATATTGCTGCCTAAATGACAATATTCTCCATATAGTGCACTATTTTGGCCAGAGCTAAATATGATACCTAATTCTCCATATAGTGTACTATTGTTGACCAGACCAAATGTAGGGCACTATATGGTCAAATGTAGTGCACTATATGCTGTCTAAGGCATCATTTGATCTGCCCTTTAATAACAGACCGGCTTTAAGTCACAGATAGGCCCATCCAGATCAAGGAGGAAGGACTCTTTCTAGAAAGTGAGATGGTGTTTGTTTGTTTGTTTAGTCAGGAGATTCATCAGTCAAAAGGATCGTTACAGCAACCCCACGGCCGCCACCCAAAACAACAGCAACCCCACGGTCACACTGGCCAAAACAAACACTACTAATCCAATTCACAACATCCTACTGAGCCTCCCATCGACGGGACCCTGTTCAGGGGCCTTGTGAAAACATGGCACCCCAATGGCAATTAGAGGCAATGTGTTAATTACCAGGAGAGATAGGAGATAAAGGATACTGTGGAGTGAGAGGCGTTGAAATAGAAACCCCACTCTAAAGAAAGGGTTAGGGTCACAGGCTAGAGGAGAGGAATGACGTATTCAGAAGAAGGCATTCCTGAGAACAGAAGGCATTCCTGAGTGCATTTTAAAATGTCTCTCTCACACACAGCGAACAGAGAGACAGCGGTTGTCCTTGCCATCAGTTCAGTAATCATTGCTACTATAATATAATAATATATCATATATTTTTTCCACAGCGAACAGGGAGACAGCATTTGTCCATGCCATCAGTTCAGCAGGAGTCATGTACACTCTGACGAGGAACTGCAGTCTGGGGGACTTTGACAACTGCGGCTGTGATGACACCAGGAATGGACAACGGGGTAAGAGAAGATAAATAAATCCACACACAGATCATTACAAGACACGCATAGATGAAACAGCTGATGCACATACTGTGTTATAGTCATGTGATGTGATTCGGTTGTAGGCAAAACAACATTTTAAGTATTTTTCAAGTACCTTAGAAATAATTCCCTTCCACGTTTTTCCGTCACAAATGGTGAGCCACCCTCTCATACAGGCAAACTCCTGCTTGTGACCCCAGGGGGTGCTGGCTGTGGGGGAGGGGGGTGGGGGGGGGTTGGGGGGGGGGCTGCAGTGAACTGATGATTGTGGTTGTGTTTACAGGGGGTACAGGCTGGCAGTGGGGGGGCTGCAGTGACAACGTGGGGTTCGGTGAGGCCATCTCCAAGCAGTTTGTTGATGCGCTGGAGACGGGTCAGGACGCTCGGGCCGCCATGAACCTCCACAACAACGAGGCTGGACGCAAGGTACAGTATTTACTTTACTTTGTACTTTTACTCTTACCATTATTTACTATATCATCTATGTTCCCTGACTGGGACACATACAGTAAGGCATCCATAAAAACAGTACCCATAAGTCCCCTAAAACATTTGTGAATAAGGACACACAAGGAAATACTGTACTCCTCAGCTTTCCAGCTTGATAGCTGCTGTGTGGCAACCATTCGGGTGCAAATCGGCAGGCGAGTGCTAGGCAACACATTGGTGCTGCAAGGGGTGAGCCATCCCTCAGCACCATACAATTGAAAAAACTTAGATGATATAGTGAAATATTATCATAATTCCAGATAGATATAGAGCTTGGTTTTCGGGGTGTTCTGAACTCCAGATCATGTTGAGATTAAATCAGTGAGATTGCCATAGGGGGGAGCTCTTGTAGTTCAAGCTGGAGGGCCAGATGGCCTGTTTGATATTTGCGTTTCCCACTCGGCCCCCCAACCGACCGACTGCTCAATGTAAAGTACCTTTTGAATCATGTTTTTATTTCTCAACCCTCCCAGTGAGAATTACAGCTTACAGCAAGCGTACCACCCAAGCGTCCCCTTTCACGTCCCCATAAGTGAGGTGCCACTCGTCCTCCAATAACCACAGTGTGTTCGCTGTACCAGAAGGGCCTATTTACCAGTTACTGAATGTCCTTTATTATGACAAGACTTGAGTTGCAAGATCTCAGGATCACTGGTGCTACTTCTTAATTAGAGTATCCCATGGTTCCACACACTGCAGACGGGGGCCAGTATTATGCCTGCCTGCTCTCTTTAAATACGTTTTTAGTTTTATTCTTGCAATAAGCATCCAACATTTATTCTGTTGGTCTTTGTGTGGCCCCTGAGGAGCCATAGTCAGGGACCACAGGCGAGAGAATGGAGTGGTCTTTGTTTACCCCGCCTAGGAGCCCTCCTGTTGGGCCCTCGCTGCCCCTCCGAACCCCATGGCACCTGGAGCATCATTGTAACAAAAAAAATACCAGAGAAAAAAAGAAAAACTCACCCCTTTTTAATTTTGCCACTCAATAGACTCCCCATAGACTCTTCATTGGTTCTTCTCATGGCAGAAAACATGTTGACAATGGCCTTGCTAAATAAATACTCCTCTCACTCCAGGAGGGACACAGTCAGTGTCTCGATGTGAAACTTTGATTTGGCCCTCACCTCGCGAGAAAGCGCTTCCCCTCCCCATAAAGAAACGTTCCTTTTCAACCGACATCTGTTGACATATGTGTCGGGGTGAAGTCAGGAAATATTGAGGGGGACCACAAAAGCTGACAAAAACTTGAGCATGAACCTTGAACCTATCCTTTCTCCCCTCAGTGAATTCATCCTCTTTTTGTCAAGTGGGAAGGCTTGAGCGTACAATGGGTTAATTTGACAACACATCAATCAAGAGCCAATGGTCTTCACATTACACAACTGATTCTTTTAAACAAAACCATGCTCAGCCACACACACATACACAACTGATTTCCTGAGACCAAATCAATGAACTTCTCATCTGCATGTTGCTGCTTTAAAGCGCAACTGAAGGCAATAAACAACTTCTCTGATAGAAAACTATATTAGTCAGAAGCAAAGTTTTGTAAGTGAGTTCGTCATGATTTACTTGAGGGTTGGGTTTTGATTTCACAATGCTTACTTGCCCACTAACAAGGGATACACAGCTACAGTGATTGTGCTCTGTCCAATCCTACCGCAGAACACAGAGACAGTGAGACAGACATGCCTATCAGCGCAGTGGATCTGACTTTGTTCACGTAAGACAACAGGTCGCACATTTTTTTAACTTGAGAAATATAGCACCAAATACCTTAGCTAGATGTACAATTTTGCGAGTTATCTTAGATTCATTCTGACTATTTTGAGAAAGTAATACTGGCTTTTGTTCCTATGGTGTCTCATGGGCGACAAACCCATCAGTAACTGGCACATCGAACCACACCCCCAAGACTGAAATATTGTTTCTTACAGTAATGAGCAACAGAGAAACATGCTGAATCAGTGCGTTCAGTTGCGCTTTAAAAATAACTCTCCTTAATGATGTATTTTTCTACACTCCTGTTTCAGCTGGTATTTGCCTGGTGCTTACATAATAATTATATGGCATCAATAGGTTATTTCTGGAGTTTACAGAGTATTTACTTTATGCAATGTTCAGGTTATTATAATTACAATTTTCCAGGTGAATCAGACTGTAGAATAAAGCTTAACCAAAGTCTCCCTCCCTCCACTCCTCCCCTCTCCTCTCCCTCCCAGGCAGTGAAAGGAACCATGCAGAAGACTTGTAAGTGCCATGGCGTCTCTGGGTCCTGCACCACACAGACCTGCTGGTTACAGCTACCAGAGTTCCGGGAGGTGGGAAACTACTTGAAGGAGAAGTACCACCGAGCCCTGAAGGTATATATTGTTTATTGTTTATATTAAACAATATTGTTTATAGGCACTTTAAAGGCACTTCACATAAAGTTTATTCATTTATTCATTCAAGGTGGACCTGCTCCGGGGAGCCGGGAACAGTGCAGCCAGTCGAGGGGCCATCGCAGAGACTTTCAGCTCCTTCTCTCGTAAAGAACTGGTCCACCTAGAGGACTCCCCAGATTACTGCTTGGAGAACCGTACCCTGGGTCTGCCCGGCACGGAGGGCAGAGAATGCCTGAAGAAGGGCAAGAACCTAAACAAGTGGGAGAAGCGGAGCTGCAAGAGGCTGTGTGGGGAGTGCGGTTTAGCCGTGGAGGAGAGGAAGGCGGAGTTGGTGTCGAGTTGCAATTGTAAGTTCCACTGGTGCTGTGCAGTGAAGTGCGAGCAGTGCCGCAAGACGGTGACCAAGTACTTCTGTGTGAAGAAGGGAGGGCAGAGGGGGAAGAACGAGAGCGCTGGGAGCCGTAAGAAGAACCTGAGGCTGAGGAAGAAGCACTGAGCTGCATCCATCTTCCTCACCATCATCATCACTGCCACACGCCGTGTCTTCTCACAAGCTGATTTTCACAGACCTTCTGTGTGTCCCGAAACTGCCCCTCTCAAACGTTTCTACAACAAGCTTTCTGCTTGTATTCTAAAGACTTAATTGGAAAATAATTTATTGAATAAGTCCAGTATTGTTGTTATCCCAATCAAATGTTTAATAGTGGGGGAGAAAATGTGTGTACAAAAAACATGTTGATAAACTACATGATAGAGAAAGAAGAGAGGGAAACTATTAGTTGTTTAGAACTGATGGTATAAAGGGTATACATATATTTAAAAGTATTTTTTTAAAACTTTTTCCCCCAATTATATATATTATTATAAGTCATTGGGCATTTAAAGCATGTTACATACGGCTGCACTCAATAATCTCCTTCATACCTGATATCTTGAACAACTCTTCCTTAATGGTCAGTCAACACTAAACCTCAACAACATCTTATTTATTGTCATAAGTACCACCAATGAGCTACGCCATTTCTGATTGGTCAGTTTATCAAACATTCCTTCCTGTCTTGATGACCAAGCTCTCTCTACCCGTGACAGTGCCTGAGATCGAAGCATCCCAGTAGTTTGTTCAAGCATGTATCACAACAGATATTCAGATTATAGGTTTGAAAAACAAGAAGGGACTTCGGGGTGCATTCCTCTCGTCCACTCCCCTGCCTTCCCCTGCCCCGCACAGCCTTGCCCTGAGGATGTATTTAATTGTAAATAAAATGAAGCACTTTGTTCGGTATATTGTTTATTTATTGCACAGGTTTTCCCCTAGTTTTTGCTTTATTCATAGTTGCTTTCATGGTTGTTGTTATTTTCTATAAAACATTTGTAATTAAAGAAATATAATCTACAACTCCCCTATTATATGAATTTATTGAGCATGCCAATCACCGTTTCACATTTCACATCCATTCATTTCAGAAGTGTTGAATTAATTTCAGAAGTGTTGAAATCAAATGCATGATTCTTTCCTATATTCCCGCCGTGTGACATATAAATCACACATTTTCAGCAGTGGTACAACACAACCTGAGGCTCTTTGTATTGTTCACTTGGGGATCCGATAACCCTCAGGCCAAAGTAACAACAAGAGAATAGTTTTCATTATACTCTTCCTTCCTTCACGCCTTTCTCCATTTCGCCTTGACAAATACCTCCCCTTTCTTTCTGCCGCTCGTTCGTCTAATCCTCAAAGAGCCTCTCCTAACGCCCTGGAACTCAGAACTTTCTTTACAGTTTAATACTAGTTTAATTAACTTTGTCCAGACAGAGTGCATGGTGGGGGGGAAACACGAAGAAGCAAAACAAGTCGCCCTTAAAAATCTTTAAAAATCAACCACCCCGCCTCTAATTTTGTATGCTAATCTCCTTTTTCACGCTGCCCCTCCTTAGCAGTGAGTGGTGAGTTGGGACAAAAACTGTTGGGAAAACTTGGTGGTGTTGCCTTCCTTCGCCGGGGGCTCGCCAGTGGCTTCCTGCTGGCTGTTTCATTCCTGGGCCCCCTCGGCCTCCTCGGCTCACCTATTTGGATCCTTTCTCTTCTCTAGGGCCTTCCTTTGCTCGATTTAACAATGAGCGTCGAGCTAATCAGCCCTCTCGGAAATGCGCCACTGCCGAGCCGCTTAATCCCCTCTCCTCCTCCACCGACTCAATGGACCTCCGCCTTCAAAAGGGCTTTGGGAAAAGGCTTTGCACGGATTCACACTGTTCCCTCAATACAAGTTAGTTCAAGTATTGTACCCACAACAAGTGGGTATGATAAACAAATGCTTGCCAGGGTGGATACCCACCCACCACCCCACCTGTGGTAGCCTAAAGAGGGTGCCAGGGCCGGGTGCAGACTGTAGCGCATGGCAGGCTGACCCAGGGGCCTCCAGGGGCCCGACGGGGCCCTCCAGATGAGATGGGACCTGAAAGAGGAGATTAAAAGCCCCTATTGAGAGTAGGGGCAGTTTATTTCTGTACCCTAGTCTTTCTACCCCCCCCCCCCCCCCCCCCCCCCACCCCTGTGGGAGGAATGAAAACCCCACACAGCAGCTGACCCAACCGAACACGTTTAGCAGTTAACACCCCAACCGTCAGACACACCTGTGACACCATCTACACCACAGGAGTCAAACTCATTCCATGGAGGGCCGAATGTCTGTGGGTTTTCACTCCTCCCTTGTACTTGATTGATCAATTAAGGTCACTGATTAGTTAGGAACTCACCTCATGTGGTTGTCAAGGTCTTAATTGGACACAAATTGAAAGTAAATTGAAAAAACTGCAGACACTCGGCCCTCCATGGAATGAGTTTGACACCCTTGATCTACACCGTTCAGTCAGAAGCGATTGCGCTCGGGGGGATGAGATGAAAGAGGAGTGATTTAAAACAGTGGACTAATCCTGTTCTTCAAACAGGCCGGATCTGTTCGAAGATAATTCCATGCTTGATAAATCTGAACCTGGGGAGCCTTTCGTTTAGATCCTCTTGGTCTTCAGGTTCACACACACACACACAGACACACACACACACACACGTACACACACACACACACACACACACACACACACACACACACACACACACACACACACACACACACACACACACACACACACATGACTCTGGTGTACTTCTGGACTAGGACCACCTCAGAGACGTAAAGCCTAAAGCTGTACAGTAGCACTACACTGGCTGACCCTCTCAACCTTGCCTCACACTGTACCTAATCATGTGCAGTGTTTGAACATGAGTCTGCTTCTATGGATGTCTATGGAAGAAATACTGTTCATACAGTATGAAGAAATGAAGGAACTATACGTGAAGTAATACAGTATACATGGAAATGCTTGGGGAAACGTTCTAGTGTGTGGTTAACTTAAGTTGGGATATCATACGGCCAAGCTCGCTCTCTCTCTCTCTCACACGCACGCACGCACACACACACACACACACACACACACACACACAGATACACACACAGACACACGCACTCACTCACACACTCACTCACTCACACACACACACACAGACACACACAGCTATGTCTTACTATACTTGTGAGGACCTTTTGGGGACCAACAATTGATTCCCATCCAAAAACTCGAACCCTAACCCTTCTGGTACTCACAAGTATAGTAAAATGTGTACACATACACACACACATACCAACATCTATGTTTCAAATGCCTCCTGTAGCTCAGCTGGTAGAGCATGGCGCTTGCAAATCCAGGGTTGTGTGTTCGTTTCCCACGGGGGGCCATTATGGAAAATGTATGCACTCAATAACTGTAAGTCGCTCTGGATAAGAGCGTCTGCTAAATGACAAAAAAAATAATATAAATATATAAAAATGCAGAACGCAGCGTGAAACACTGTTCACACACACAACAGACTCCGGAGAGTGACGCGACCTCCTCTCCATCCAAGGGGTCAGGGGTTGGGGTTGGGGGAGGGGGGGGCTGGTCCTGCCAGGTCCAGTTTGCTCTGGGCTATGAGTCCGAGGTGGCGGAGAGGTAGAGGTGACACTGCCAAGGAAGAGGGAGAGATTAAAGATCCACTCTCTCTCACTGCCCGGAGGGTCAATATATTCTGTAGTTCTGGTGCCACTGGAAGTGGAGGGACACTGGCAGTGCCAGATAGAGAGCAGAGCCAGAGATGTCATGGGATCGGCAAACTGTCTTCCATGATTGTCTCAAATATAGCATTTTTAATTAGGATTCATTCTTAAATGTATCTGTCTTGGAACTTCTGCTGGAAATCTGCAAAAATTCTACAGTTTTGATTACTAAAACTATACCTCAAAAGATGAGTTAACAATCATTCAGTTTTACACAAAACAATCCTTTAAAATCGATCTGTAATCTCTTACAGCCGTTGTATCAGTCTCAATCGGACAAAGAATAACAGACAGACAACAGGACAAGAATTACTCTAATTCGCTCAAGTGATGATACAAGGCATGGAAAATAGGAAAATTACATTTAATGCCTCCTGGAATCCCTAACTAATAGGATTGTAGGCTTAGTGGATCTGGACACACAACACCTAGAGGGGCCAGGGTCACTATGGATGTGTGTGTGAGAGAGAGAGAGCAAAGCCAAACAGAGGAGAAGAAAGGCCAGAAGACATGAGAGAGACCATCGAGGGATTCCATGAGAAGAATGGTTTAATAACTATTATTGCTACTAAATCAACTAATTTGCCCATCATTTATCTACTGTCTGTCGGGCCGGGGAGTAGAGCTGAGCAGAGTGGTGTGGTGTGGGGTATCAGCAGGATAGAGATGTGAGCCCCTGTCTTAGCACAGCAGGGTGGCCAGTCAATCCCTTTACTGTGGAGATCTGTGGGGAGAATAGGAAGAGAAGAGGCATCAGAGGGATCAGCTCAGCTCCCTGCTCGGAGCAGGAAACATTGAGCATGTGGGTCCCGCAACATCGCGGGAACCCTGCCTAACACCTCCGGAGAGGTATGGCGGACGTCCAGAGTGCTGCAGGGAATTCCTCACCCAGTGTTCCCTGGTATTCAGCCTACAACCTTCCTCCTTCCCGACGGAGCAGGGCCAGGTGGCCTACATCATCACTCTGTTGACGGGTCGGGCCCTTTCCTGGGCTACCGTGGAGTGGGAGAGCCAAACTCCGGCGTGTTCCGACTCACCGGGAGCTACGCAAGGTGTTCGACACCTCTCGGGTGGTGTCGGGGCACGAGGCCGGAAGGCGGCTCACGGCCTGTCGGCAGGGTGACCGTTCGGTGGCGGACTACTCAGTGGAGTTCCGGACACGGGCTCGAGAGGCAGGATGGGAGGAGGCCACCCTGGTCGTCCTTTACGAGGGGATGAAGGATGAACTCTCCTTCAGGGAACTGCCTGAGCGACTGGACGGCCTCGTCAAACTCTTGGTTTGGGTATACAATCATCGTTGTGAGAGGGCGCATGAGAGAGGGATGAAGCAAGGCGCGCCTATCAA